CTCTCTCTCTCTCTCTCTCTCTCTCTCTCTCTCTCTCTCTCTCTCTCTCTCTCTCTCTCTCTCTCTCTCTCTCTCTCTCTCTCTCTGTGTGTCCCTCTCCCTCTATGTCTCTCTCTCCCTCTGTCCCTCTCTCTTTCCCTCGGCCCCCCTCTCTCTCTCTCTCACTCCCCCTCGGTCTCTCCCTCTCTGTTTGTCTCTTGTTCTCTCTGTATGTCGGTTTGTCCATCCATCCATCCTTCTGGCCTGTCAGTTCTGTTTGTCTTCTGGTCAGTTCTGCCTGTCAGTTCTCTCTGTGCACCAATGAACCGGAGACACCTGATGTGTTTGTTTGTTTTTTTTAATTAAAAAAAAGAAAGATATTTAAAGAATTGATTGATTTTTGATACGCGGTGTTAGTTAAGGGTGCTCACTGTTCTTACTTCCTAAGTGTCATTTCTTTTCGTTTCTGCGATTGCGAGGAACGAGCCCTCACGATGCGGCCGCGGCCTCCCGATGCCCAAGGGCCCCCCAGCAAGCAAAGTGCCTGCCCTAAGTGAAGGCGGGCCTTATTTCCAACCCGGGCCCCTATTTTTGTCATTCTGCATTGTAGGCTGCCAATCAAGAAGCACGACTTTGGATACTATGTCGGTCTTCAGCTTGAAGTGACCCCCGTTGCATACACGTAGTGGCAGGCTAGATAGTAGCCGGGTAGGATAGGCTGGGCGCTAAGCGCCAATCAAGAAGAGCGACTTTGGATACTATGTTGGTGTGACGAGAGAGTGTTGGCATTGACGTTTGGGTTCATTGTATCTCTATACTCTTAAAGGGAATCGCGGGTCTCGCGTACCGCTCCCACGCAGACCCGCCTTCCAGTGTTGGGAAAGCTGCTGGGACAAGGGGCGGGCCCAGTGAAAGATGGCAATGTATCTCTCCAGGTTCTGGCGGGAAAATTCTTTTGGGCTTTGGGCGTGGCTGCACTACTCTCCAGATGCACGAAAGACAAAAAAAAATTCTGTCTATCGCTCTCGCTCATCTTCCTTGCACTCTCTAATGCACTGTGTGGCCTGATTACTCTTCTTTTTTTTTTTTTTTTTTTTTTTAAACGAATTGCAGCCAGTTGTCGTATGATTCAGGCACTCCGGCCTGCTTCATACGACGGCCGCTCTTTTTTTGCTATCTCCTAGTAGTACTAAGTACTCATATACTATTAAGGGATTAGTCTAATTTATTTATTTATTAAAATTTTATTTATTTGTTTTGCGAATACACTGTGTGATGCGAGTACTCTTCTCTTGAGTGAATCTCTAATGCACTGTGTGGATGATTACTCTTTTTTTTGCTATCTCGGAGTTACTCGTAAAATTAAGGGATTATTTAATTTTAATTAATTAATTTATTGATTTAAATTTTATTTATTTATTTTGCAATGCAGATGGCATTACAAGCAGTGAAGTCTCTGTCGGTATCTGGACACTCGCCGCCTTTGTCAATCATTCCTGCATCCCAAATGCAAATATTCTTGGCATTCAAGATGTTCTCATGCTTCGAGCGGGAAGGGACATCGAGGAAGATAAGGTGTAAAACCCATCAAAGCCCAAAATGGAAAGTGAGTAAAGCTCTCAATTAGAGGGGTTGGCAACCCTCACTTCATCTTCTTCTTTTCTCTTTTTTTTTTTTTTTGTATTTTTTAAGTTTTCTTTCGTTCTTTTTTGGCTTTTCTTCTAGGCTACCAGAATCACCCCGCTGAGCGACACTGGCACGCTGGCAAACCTGCCCGTGGGAGTACCCGGGCGACAGCAAAAGGGGGGTCCATGTTTTTTTATTTTTTTTC